GAGAAGACAAATAAGGAACTGTGGGAAGGATTTATTACAGGCAAAGGCATATACTCAAAGCATTAGTAAGGCTCTTTAAAAGAGAGTAAGTAGCATTATGACATTTTGGATAGTTTCTTTGATGGAGGGGAGAAGTATCATGAGTTAAGGTGAAGAAAAGGCAGAGGATTTCAGGAATTGGTGGGAATTCTCCCTAGAATATTTACTCTCCTTTTCTGTACTTATATGGGATTTTTCTGATGTGTCTACATCATATAGCAACAAGATAGTAACAGGCAATTTTTAAGACTTTAGAGATGGCATTATCATGAAGCAAAGAATATTTGACAGTGCTCTGGGTCAGCCGTGTTGGTCCCAGCTGTAGTGAGGAGACCTTGTGTCTTTACTGTCCTAAGGGTCTGGTATGCAGTTACAGAAAGCTGAGACTGAAGTCAGCTTTGAGCCTCCATGCAATTTGCCTCTTTCTTCCTCTATGTCTGTCTAGCCAACTTCAGTTAAAGAAAGAGTGAGGGAAGAGTGTTCAGCCAGAGGTGGACAGGAGCCATATCATGTGGGGATTGTAGATTCTTGTAAGAACTCCAGCCATTCATCTTGTATGGTCCCCAAAGAAGGATGTGAATAGGCTACACTGGATTCACTTTCTTTGAAAGGGCAGCCTTGAAAAATCAGCCTTGAATTCCCTGAATTCAAGTACCTGGGATGGAACTGTTGTATTTCTGACAAATTCCTCTGGGTGACTGATGTGCCCTTAGGCTTGGGACTGCTTTCAGCTTAAAAAAAAAAAAAAAAAAAAAAAAAATCCCATGATTTTAAATTAAAAATGAAATAAGAGGTTGAAAATTTTCTTAGCATCCCAAATGTCAGTGATTTGGAAAAGTTGGAGATTATCCAGGAAATTGAAGCCCAGAGGTTAAGTGACTTACCAAAGGTTATAACAGAGCCAGGGTTCAGAGTGACCCTTCTAACTCAACAGTTCAGCGCACCTTCCGCTATGCTGGGCTGCCTAATAAGCGTTATTTGACTTGTCAGATGGTTAGATTCCCAATAAACTTGCCAATGAGGAACATGGTCTCACCCTAGAAGCTCTATATGGGTGATTGGTTGATTAAATGTTTGGTTAATCTAAAGATCAATCAGATGGCTTTGGTTGTTTTAACCTTTATGACTAAGAACGATTCAAAATGTATTAATCACATTTTCAGCTCCTTGAGAGGAATTCTGGGAGATTAATTCCATTTTTGAATTGGAATGGCCCTTAATTGTTCAGGATCTTACAGTGCTCTGGGTCATAATTCTGAAGTAAGCTCTTACTAATATCATTATAAAACATAAGAGCCATCAGCTGACCTTGGACATAGCTGAGGTTTTAGTTTCTTTTAAAATACGTTTCTAATTTGGTTGCTTTCTTTTGATTTGTTTCTTGGACATTGTTGTTAAAATTTTCTCTACTTAATTTCTTTTTATAACACTGGGTTTCCTGACCTTATTTGGCAACTTGGGCCTAAATGACATCAATGTTACCTGCAATATCTGAGCTTGTGGATCTTCTTGTTACCCTGGGTTGTGCTGATGTAGTACAGGGGAATAGGTTCAGAAATCACTTACTGAAGTATCTAGGTCTCAGAACTCAGCTGGTAAAGCGATTTCAGCAAAGACATTTCTTCTGCACTTACATATTTCTGTAAGTTTCAGTGATCAGATCTGTTCCAGCCATGGGGGCAGGTCACACATTCCCACTGAGAACACTTAGCCAAGATTAGAGGGACACAGTACTTTTTTTTCCCCTTTCACTAAGCCAGAATTGGAGGTGGAAACTGTCTGAGCTACTGGCTGCTTTGGAAATGGGAAGAAAAGTGGATATCTAAAGCATTTCATCTTCTGTCTTCTATTTCTGTAGAGAAGTCCTGTTCAGCGAAGGACCTGGTACCAACATGATATGTTCAATTAACCCATTAAAGCTGTCCAGTCCTATTCACTAGCTACCTTGAGGTCCTTCCTCTCTTGAGGCTTACTCATTTAAAAAAAATAATGTATACATTCAACTTAAATTTGTTTCTGGGTGTCTGTGCCTTCATGATTCTGCTCCTAATGTTCTCTACCAGAAAATAGGGTATAACTTGTATTTCATCATCATCTAGCCTCCAAAGCATCACTAGCACTTTTCTCTTCTGGGTGGTTTCATTGAATAATCCCTTGAGAAAAACGGAAAATGGCTGTGGCAAGAGAATTAGCATGGCTCTCAGTTTCATGAAGGATAATGACTGGAATGGGCGTATAGGAATAACTCAAATTGTAATTTACTTCTGACTTTGACTTTACAGCAGGGGTTGGGATGGGGACCGGGGGCCTTATAATCTGACTCTGATATTTGCTAGGTTCTAAATGGTGCCATGGAAAGAGAGCAGATGGTAGCTATGAGATTTAATTTTTAGCAATTGATTGTCCCAAGTCTGTCTCCACCATGTAAAGTGGCATTCTTATTGGCATGGTCCCCAAGCAGTGTGTGAGGGAACTGTGGGGAAGCTGCGATGGCAGCAATGAAGGACTCTGACTGAGTCCTCCAGCTGCTGGGCCTGCTGCCAGCAAGAAACCTTGGCTCTGCTGCCGTTTCATAAGGGGTGTACCTGAGCTGAAGAGGCCCTTGTCCAAGGTCACCAATGTGGCTGGCATGAATGGCTGATCTGCATGGGTCCAGCCCCAACTCAGGACTTCTCTGAAGCATCATCATAGCATCAGAATCCTTCCTAGCATCAGAAGGATGCCTAAGACTAGGTTAGTTTCTCCCTCAGTACACACTTCCCCTTCCTCCCCCCATTTTTTGTTCTCCAAACAAAAATGCTTCTAAGAGAACTCTCAATAAATCCTCTGCTTGCTAAACACTACCTCAAAGTCTGTTGGGGAGCTCAGCCTATTGGGAATACTATGAGCAGTTTGCCTGCTAGTTAGAAAACAGTACAGACTTTCCCCAGATTAACTTGAGATGGATGTTTTCATGTCCTTAAAATGCAGAAAAAAATTAAAGCTAAACTGATATGGGAAGCAAAAGCAGAAAAATAAGGTTTGATTAGCTCTGTGTCTCCTCTATCTGAACCCAGGATGTCTTGTTACTGTTTATGGGTTTGGTTGGAGACAGTCTCACATTGTGGACAAGGCTGGCCTAGAACTCACTATTGAGCTCAGATTGGCCTTGAATTCATGCATAATCCTCCTACCTTGGCCTCCTGAAGTGCTAGGATTATAGATGCAAGCTACTATGTCCAGCTTGAACCTGGGATATGGAGTGATACTACGCTTCTTTTTGGAGGTCAGAAGCATTATTCGAAGTCTTCACTCAAGAACTCTTAAGTGTTGATGGTACAGGAAGAGAAAAGAGGACGATGATGTTTCACATTGGAACTTCTTTGTGCTTACATCGAAATTTGTCCTTACAAGCAAGGAAAATGATGTCCTTTCTTAGACCATCGCATTATCTCCCTTGTGCCATTGTGGCTGAAGTGGGGATTACTGAGGAAGCCCATGAGTAAGTGGGGATTGATGCCTGGCAGGCAGCTGTAACCCAGATTTCCAGAAGGATGCACAACAACCCTGCTTCTAAAGGCATTCCCATTCTTCTCCAGAGTGAAGTTCCGACGGTGTCTGTCTCACTGAGGGACGGAGGGAGGCTAGTTGCTTGCCCAAATCCAGGGTGTAAGGCAAAGCAATGTAAGGTCGGATGAGGTAAGAGTTAGGGTGAAGATTTAGTGATACCCAGGGACGAGGTGAAGACTTAGGGAGAAAACAAAAAACAAGCAGACAGCTTCTTTCTGTTCTTTCCTTGAACCTTCTACGAAAATGTATGTTTTAGGATTTGTTCTCCTGTGGGCCCGCCCCTCTCTTGGCGTGAACTTCCAAATGATGCGAACACAGGGAATGGGCTTTTTCTGAAGGCTGGACCACCACCACCAGCTGAGCCTTCAGAGCATGTGGAGGGGTTGGGGAAGGATGAGGTGCTTGCTGGTGGGATTGAGAAAAAGAGGACATAGGCTATGCGAGTGTGAGGTCTCTTAACTCCTCAGGAGTGCGGAGAAGCCACACAGGGAACTGTAGGCTCCCTGATGCTTGGGGAATGGGCATCCTGGGGTTAGCTCAGGGATGTGTGAAAATGTGTCCCTAAGAGAGACTTACTAGAGGTCTACCCATCCCTTTAGGGCCCGGCGGGGGACCTTGTGTGGGCTAGGAGGTGAGGGGCTGGGGCACTAGGGGGCGGCGTGGAGAGTGGGGCAGAAGGGGCAGGCTTCTGGGCAGCGAGGAGGGAGGGCACCGAGGCGTGGTGTCAGGCGCCGGGCGCAGGGACCGTGCGACGGGGAGTGGGGCGGCGGGGCGGCCGCGGGGGACCTAGAGGAGGACCGTGGCGGGGAGGGGACGCGCTGACTGAAAGTGGGGAAGCCGGAGCCGGCGGGCAGGCGCCCTGGCCTGGGGAGCCAGGCGAGGGGACTGGGCGGCGGCGCGGGCGGAGCGGAGGGCGGAGGCGCG